TAGCTGGAAAGTGGGAAGGCAGAGGATTAATTGGGACTCTCTCTGCCAAATTGGAAGGTATGCGCTCTAAAAAAAAAAAGAGCATCTCTGTGTCCCTCTCTCTTCCTCTTTCATTGTATGTGTATGGACTTAATGCTTCCCTCCCATGAATTTGCACATGATGGGCACCAACCTGCCCCACTGACCTGTAAAGAGGGCCACATTTGCATGCTTGGGGTCGTAGGGACACCGGGCCATGCCGCTGATGTTATCGCCAATGAGTTCGAGGCCATCCATCTGTTGGAAGGAGAAGAGGGTTAAGATGAGACAATTTCAAGGCTTTGAGACGATGCAGCTGGAATGGGACTTTTGAAGCTCACACAAATACTCTACATGTTGTGTAGCCACGCAACAGGGGGGAGAGGCACCCACACTCCTTGGCAGAGAAAGCTAAAGTCCTAGCAATGCTACAAATCCCAGGACGGAGCTACAGCACTTAGAAGTGGTGTCAAACTGCATTATTTCTACAGTGTAGATGCACCCCAGAGAGGTAACTCATCTGTTTGTTTAGGCAGGGCAACCCAAAGAATCCCAAGGGATTGAGGGCCACAAGAAAAGCCTTGAGAACCACAAGAATGTGCCTACTGTGGCATGGCAACCAAAAATGTCCCTACCATGGAGTGGCAACCAAGAATGGATTTACCATGGAGTGGCAACCTGGAATGCATCTATCAAAAATGGCAGCCAGGAATGACTCTCTTAGAAGTGGCTGCCAGGAACTTATCTACCATGATGTGGCAACCAAATATGTACCTACCATGGTTTGGCAACCAAGAACAGATCTACCATGGTGTGACAACCAAGAATGGATCTACCATGGAGTGGGAACCTGGAATATATCTCTTAGAAGTGGCAGCCATGAACCTATCTATCATGGCGTGACAACCAAGAATGGATCTACCATGGTGTAGCAACTAAGAATGGATCTACTATGGGGTGGCAACCAATAATGGACCTACCATGGTGTGGCAACAAAGAATGGATCTACCATGGAGTGACAACTGCAAATGTATCTCTTAGCAGTGGCAGCCATGAACCTATCTACCATGGTGTGGCAACCAAGAATGGATCTACTACGAAGTGGCAACCAAGAATGGATCTACTATGTGGTGGCAACCAATAATACCTACCATGGCGTGGCAACGAAGAATGGATCTACTATGCCATGGCAACCAAAACTGTATCTACCATGGTGTGCAACCAAGAATGGATCTACCATGGAGTGGTAGTAGGGAATGGTCTTAGGGATGGCACCCAGGGATAGTTTCATGGGGCCAGCGGATAGGACACCAGCTTGCGCTGGTTGGGGGCAAATCCAAAGTACTCACACTGTAGTTGGCACAGATGGGGTTGAAGGCATTGGTGCCACAGACGAAGAGCATGTTGTCATTGCGAAGGAGCAACACTTTGATAAAATTCCGACATTCTGCCTGAGGGGGAAAAACAAAGGGATAGGAGGAGAGTTGGGTTAGGTGAGAGGCACACTTCTCAGCTCATAAGAGCTTAAGCTGAAAGAAATGAGTTAGTCTTAAAGGCACCACAACCCCCTTGGGCTGGTCCCATGCTCAGAGTTTGGCTTTCAAACCAAGCCAAAGCCAAGGAATGGTAGACTTTGGAAGGGTCATCTAGTCCAAGATCTTGCTGGTGGAGGAAATCTCATCCAATCTGTTTAGAAACCTCCTCCGAAGAAGGTCCATGCCCTTCTGAGGTTCCCAGTGTTCCACAGCTCTTACCATCAGGAACGTTCTTCCTAAAATAAAATTAGGAAGAAACTCCTTTCTTGTCCCTTGAATCCATCAGTTTAGATCCAACTCACCAGCTTGCTCCCTCTTTTTTGGGGAAAGCCCTTCAGATATTTGGATACCATTATCAGATCATCTCTCAGTCTTCTCTTCCATAAAGTCAACATAACAACAACTATTCCGCATAGGAGCTGCTTCGCTCATCCTTTACCATCTTGGTTGCCCTCCTGGTCCATCTGTCATGCAACCTTCCTCTTTTCCTACTTCTTTCCACTTTATTGGGCATTATAGCATTTTCCACTGAGTTATGTCTTCTCCGAAGAGATGTCTGAAGTATGACTGTTTTTTTAAAAACATGTTTTTTCAGCAACAAGAAACCCAGATGAGAAGAATCCTGGGCTCAGGAGAATCCTTGCCGTTTTGCCATCCTTGCAAAATTCACATGTAGTTGTTTTGCGCAGAAAATGAAATGTTCTGCCCTCAGGAACCAGATGGGGTTTTTTTTGGCACAGAAAAACAGTGCTTCTGCAGAGAAAATCATATTTCTGCACAGAAAACAGTACTTCTGCACAGAGAACAGTATTTCTGCACAGAAAGAGCTGCTTTTTGAACAGAAAATGCTGTAATTTGGGACTTCTGCACAAAATTCACCTTGTGCCGAAAACAGCACAGGGAACAGGTTTTCCTTGCAGAAAATGCTATTTCTGAGCAGAACTGTGCTATTCAGGGGAGAAAAGGTTTCCTGCACAGAAAAATGTTGTTTTCCCCCCAAAACATGCCAGTGCAAATTTTGCGCAGAATGAGACTTAGATCACAGATTAGCCTTGTAAATCTGGGTGGCTTTTGGAGACTTTCTCTCCGCCAAAAGTAAATGGCTAAATTTACGCTTTGCAGCGAAGGAGCCAGCATGGCGTAGTGGTTTGAGCGTTGGACTAGGACTCTGGAGACCAGGGTTCGAATTCCAGCTTAGCTATGGAAAGCCACTGAGTGACCTGGGCGAGCCACACTCTCTCAGCCTCAGCGGATGGCCATGGCAGACCTCCTCTGAAGACGTCTTGCTAAGAAAACCCCATGATAGGGTTGCCTTAGTGTCGCCGTAAGTCAGAAACGACTTGAAGGAACGCAACAACAACAACAACAGGGAAGAAGAACCCCATCCCTAGGTCCAGTTTTAATTCCCTGCTGCCACAGTTGTTGGAATTCAGACTCCATTGCAACCCTCTTCCTTGCTGTCACATTCACGACAATGACAACACCATTCCCATCTTTGCAATCCAAGTCCTCCGCCATTGCCTTTCCCCCCTCCTCTCCAGCATGCCTGCTGTGGCATAGACCTTTGTGTCCCCTATTGTGTGTTTTCCTCATCTCTTCTGCAATCCCATCCAAGCACCACTTTTTCCTCTCTGTTTCCATGGTTTCAGAGCAGGATGAAGGGGGAGAAAGCAGCTCTTTGAGGAGCTAGTTGGGCGGTGTTGCATGTGTGTGTGTATTGTGTGTGTGTATATCTTGATCTCCCTTCCTCCCCAGTTTGCTCTCTCTTTCTCTGCTTTATCCTGAAACCGGTCCTTTCTTCAAATTTCGAAAGGGCAGCATTGCTAGGGCTAGAAGAGGAAAAATTGGGTTCGAAACGGAATGGAACCCAAGAATCCAGGCAAAAAGGTCGGCTGGGGACCAAAGTTGGAATCAGAATGAATTGGAATTTTGGAAGCTTTGCAGAGGTGCAAAGTCAAGAGGAAGAAGATGGCTGCAGAATATCCATCATATTCAACACAAGAGTGGGGAAAGCAAGGCTCACAGACCCCTAGGAAGAGCCCACATCTTCTTGTCCACCATTTTTGCTGCCAGGTAAACCCTGTGATCCCTCCTGTGATATTCAAAGGGGAGTTTCCCTCCATGCCTCTGCAGGAGTCACTGCTCTTAGCTCTACGTCTCCCAACCTAAAAGCTTTCCAACTGCAAACTGTTCCCAGGCACGGAAGAGACATGCATCACCTGCTTATGTTCCACAGAAAGGCCAACTTCCTGAGAGCAAGCTTCCCAACCTGGCCCCATCCCTCTGGATCCCTTGGACTACAACTCCCACCAGCCCCCCAATCATGAGTGAGGCTGATGTGATTTGTAGTCTCGGTGGAGCCTCAGGTTGAGGCAAGGTGGCTCGAAATGGCTCCAGCCCCTTCCTACTTTCTTCCCAAGGGGTGGGGAGAGGACTTTCACCAACATTTGAGACTACTACTCCCATTCCCATTGGGTGAGACTAATGGGAGTTGTAGTGCTCGGGAGTCCCGGGTTGGGGCAGATTTGCTTGAGGTGACTCTGTTGTTGCTGCTGGGTGCCTTCAAGCCATTTCCAACGTATGTAACCCTAAGGCGAAGCTATCACAAAGTTTTCTTGGCAAGATTTGCTCAGAGGAGGTTTCCCCTGGCCTTCACTCTGAGGCTGAGAGAGTGTGACTTGCCCCAGGTCACCCAGTGGGTTTGCATGTTGAAGCAGGGATTCGAACCCTGGTCCCCAGAGTCCGAATCCAACCCTTAAACCACTAGACCACACTGTCTGTCTTGAAGCGACTCTAACTCAGGTTGCCCAGAGGTCCTAAGCACAGAGGAGGACAAGGCGCCCCAAAATGTCAGGCGTTCAAGGAAAATGGAGGCCATGACTACAGAAAAGCTCATGAAAAAATAAAGTCCTGCTCAAAATGGAGGACCATTTGAAATTCAAACTGGAGATTCAATGGAAGTCTATTATATATATGTAAATATAAATTGAAAGTGTTTTTAACATTTCACTGTAATGTGCATATGAAAGAAAAGTACTTTTTAA